GATTTTAGGTGCCTTGATGTGCATTTCAGGCATCTTAAATTTGGGGCTCTTCCATTTTCCTTCAGGACCTTCAATATCAAGATCTGGAGTATCAATGTCCACTTTGGGACCTTTGATATCAAACTCGGGCCCTTTAAAATCCCCTTCTAGCTTTGGTACAGAAACATCCACATCCCCCCTCATTTTAGGTCCTTTCAGGTTCAAATCAAAATCTGGCATGGAGATTTTAGGTGCCTTGACGTGCATTTCAGGCATCTTAAATTTGGGACCTTTCAGCTTTCCCTCTGGACCTTCAATGTTCAAATCTGGGGCATCCATGTCTACCTTGGGCCCAGAAATATCCACGTCCCCCTTTGGAAGTTTTACATCCACATCAGGGCCTTCCCCTTTGAACCCAGGTATGCCAAATTTGGGCATTTTGAATTTAGGCATTTTGAGTTTACCCTCTGGGCCGTGAATATCCACATCTGGTGCATCAATGTCAACTTTGGGGCCTTGGAGATGAAATTCAGGCCCCTCCAAGTCACCTTCTAGCTTTGGAACAGAAACATCCACATCCCCCTTCAATTTAGGACCTTTCACATTCAAATCAATGTCTGGCATGGAGATTTTAGGCGCTTTGATGTGCATTTCAGGCATCTTAAATTTAGGACCTTTCAGCCTTCCTTCAGGACCTTCAATATCCAACTCTGGAGCATCAATGTCTATCTTAGGACCAGAAATATCCATCTCCCCTTTTGGAAGATTCACATCCACCTCTGGTCCCTCTCCTTTGAACCCAGGCATGCTGAATTTGGGCATTTTGAATTTGGGCATTCTGAATTTACCATCTGGGCCATGAATATCCGCATCTGGTGCATCAATATCAACCTTGGGGCCTTTGAAATCAAAATCAGGACCTTTCAAATTTCCTTCAAGTTTAGGAGCTGAGATATCAACTTCCCCTTTTATTTTAGGGGCTTTTAAATTCAGGTCTACATCAGGAACAGAGATTTTTGGGGCCTTGATGTGCATTTCAGGCATTTTAAATTTGGGACCTTTCATTTTTCCTTCTGGCCCATCAATGCCGATGTCAGGTGCATCAATGTCCAGTTTGGGGCCTTTGATGTCAATCTCAGGTCCCTTCAAGTCACCTTCTATCTTTGGGACAGAAACATCCAAGTCTCCCTTCAGTTTGGGCCCTTTCAAATTTAAGTCCACATCTGGCATGGATATTTTTGATGGTGACATTTTCCAAGAAGGCATTGAGAATTTGGGCCCTTTCAGTTTTCCTTCAGGACACTCAAGATCCACATCAGGTGCCTCAATGTTTAATTTTGGCCCTTTAATATCAATTTCAGGTCCTGTCAAATCACCTTCTATCTTTGGAACAGTAACATCCATCTCCCCCTTCATTTTCGGTGCCTTGAGATTCAGGTCTACATCTGGCATGGAGATTTTAGGTGCTTTAATATTCAGTTTAGGCATTTTAAATTTAGGTCCTTTCCATTTGCCTTCTGGGCCTTCAATGTCCAGCTCTGGAGCCTCTATATCTACTTTGGGAGCTGAAATATCAACCTCTCCCTTTGGCACATTTACATCTATATCAGGTCCTTCAAGTTTAGGGCCTGACACATTAAATTGAGGCATCTTCATTTTGGGCATTTTCAGTTTTCCACCTGAACCCTGCAGCTCAATATCTGGTGCATTAATATCTATTGAGGGGGCATTGATGTCAACATCAGGACCTTTCAAATCACCTTCTAGCTTTGGAATAGAAACATCCACGTCTCCTTTTAGTTTGGGACCTTTCAAATTTAGGTCAATGTCTGGCATGGAGATTTTAGGGGTCTTGATATGCATTTCAGGCATCTTAAATTTGGGACCTTTTATTTTTCCTTCCGGTCCCTCAATGTCCAAACCTGGAGCATCAATATCCACTTTGGGACCGCAAATATCCACCTGTCCCTTAGGGAGTTTCACATCCATGTCAGGGCCCTCTCCTTTGAATCCAGGCATGCCGAACTTTGGAAATTTCATTTTTGGCATTTTCAATTTGGCTTCTGGACATTCAAGGTCAACATCAGCGTCAACTTTGGGACCTTTAATGTCAATGCTGGGTCCTTTAAAATCACCTCCCATCTTTGGAACAGAAACATCCATCTCTCCTTTCAGTTTAGGTGCCTTTAGATTCAGATCAACATCTGGCATGGAGATTTTAGGGGCCTTGATATTCATTTTAGGCATCCTAAATTTGGGGCCTTTCAGTTTGCCTTCTGGACATTCCAAGTCCATATCAGGCACATCAATATCCATTTGGGGACCTTCAATATCAATTTGGGGCCCCTTAACGTCAATGCTGGGTCCTTTCAAATCACCTTCCATCTTTGGAACAGAGATATCCACATCTCCTTTCAGTTTAGGTGCCTTCAAACCTAGGTCCACATCTGGCATGGAGACTTTGGGTGTCTGAATATTTAGCTCAGGCAGTTTAAACTTTGGACCTTTCACTTTACCTTCTGGCCCTTCAATGTCTAAACTTGGGATATCAATGTCCACTTTGGGACCAGAAATACCCACATCCCCTTTTGGAAATGTTATATCCATGTCTGGTCCCTCCCCTTTCAGCCCAGGTACACCAAATTTAGGCATTTTCAGTTTAGGCATTTTCAGTTTACCGTCTGGGCCGTGAATATCCACATTTGGTGCATCAATATCCACTTTGGGGCCTTTAATGTCAATTCCAGGAGCTTTCAATTCCCCTTCCAGCTTTGGAACAGAAACATCTACATCTCCCTTCAGCTTAGGGCCTTTCAGATTCAAGTCGATGTCTGGCATGGAGATTTTTGGTGTCTTGATGTGCATTTCAGGCATCTTAAATTTGGGACCTTTCAGGTGTCCTTCAGGCCCTTCAATGTTCAAACCTGGAGCATCTATGTCTATCTTGGGATCAGAAATATCCACCTCTCCCTTTGGAAGTGCTATATCGACATCTGGTCCCTCCCCTTTCAAGCCAGGTATACCAAATTTAGGCATTTTCAGTTTAGGCATTTTGAGTTTACCCTCTGGGCCGTGAATATCCACATCTGGTGCATCAAGGTCAACTTTGGGGCCTTTAAGATCAAATTCAGGACCTTTCAAATCACCTTGTATCTTCGGAACAGCAACATCCACATC